CATAACGGTTCGTTTTTTAGGTGGCTTATAAATAGAAGGTCCACTCGTGAGTGGAGTATCTTTTGCTCATTCCAACAATTTGAGAAACACGTTTGTGAGTGCCAAGAAGAGCAAGGTCCTAGTGAGGTGTTTGTGATTTGAGAATCCAAGAGAGTAGCCTCACTAGCAAATCAAGAGTAGCAAAGTGTGCATCCATCTTCTCATTAGGCTTGGCGTGGTCAAGTGAGAGTTCGTGCTTGTTACTCTTGGTGATCGCCATCACCTAGACGGCTTGGTGGTGATTGGGAGTTTGGTGTTCACCCGGCGGAGCTTGTGGGTGACCCAACTCAAGTTGTGAGAGCGGTTTTGGGTGATTCGCCGCGACATGAGTGTCGAAGAATCAACTCGTGAGAGAGCACTTGATCCTTGCGGCGGATCAGGGGGAACTACACACCCTTGCTGGGTGCTCCAACGAGGACTAGTGGGGAGTGGCGACTCTCGATACCTCGGCAAAACATCGCCGCGTTCCTTTCTCTCTCTATTTACGTTGAGCACTTACTTTGAGTATTTACTTTGAGCATTTCAATACTTGTCTTACATCCATAGAATTGCTTGCTAGAGTAAGTTTGGAACATTGGTTGCGAGGTTGTTGTGCATTAGTTTGGTATAAACACTTTTTAGGCACAAGGGGTTAATTGGGCTATCCGTAGGATTTGATTATTGCAAGAAAATTTAGAATTAGCCCAATTCACCCCCCCTCTTGGGCATCTTGATCCTTTCAACCTGTTCCTGAATAGGCCTGGCAAGTTGTTACTATGGACTTCATTGAAGGCTTTCCTATCTGCTCAGTTCAACTGTATCCTGGTCATTGTTGATAAGCTCAGTAATTATGTTCACTTTATTAAACTCAAGCATCCTTTCTCTGCACTCCAAGTTGCCAAGGTGTATATGGAGCAAGTGTATAGATTGCATGGCATGCCTACAGCCATAGTTTCTGACCGGGACAAGATCTTTACAAGCCATTTGTGGAAGGAACTACTCTCCTTGTCTAGCACCCAGTTGAATATGAGTTCAGCCTATCACCCTCAGAGTGATGGCCAAACAGAAAGAGTTAATCAATGTATTGAAGCTTATCTATGTTGTTTTATTCAGTCTTGCCCCAGTCAGTGGTCTCAATGGTTACATCTGGCAGAATACTGGTATAATACCTGTCATCATGCTTCCCACCAGCATACACCTTTTGAGGTTCTGTATGGTCACAGTCCAAAACATTTTGGCATTGATCCCAATCAAGATTGCCATGTCCCTAATCTCGGAGGCTGGTTACAAGACCGCAAAACTGCTAATGCCTTGCTTCATCAACAGTTGTTGCGTGCTTAGCAGCGTTAGAAAACTCAAGCTGACAAACATCGTTCTGAACGCCAGTTTGAGGTGGGTGATCAAGTTTGGTTGAAGCTACAGCCATATGCTCAGGTGTCAGTTACCTCCAGAACTTGTCACAAACTCTCTTATCGGTATTTTGGGCCGTATGAAGTGGAAGCTAAAGTGGGATCTGTTGCCTATAAACTCAAGCTGCCTCCTCACTCCAATATACATCATGTCTTCCATGTTTCTCTCTTGAAGAAGGTAACTGGCTCTGCACCTATTTCATTTTGTTCCCTGTCTCTGGATACATCTGCTGATCAACCGCCAGAAATGGTATTGGATCGTCGTGTGTGTACCAAGTCCAGACGCACACACTATCAGTTGTTGATCAAGTGGACTAACTAGCCACCGGAGTTGGCAACGTGGGAAGACGAAGATGAAATCCTACGCCTTTTTCCTGAATTCACGTCTTGGGGACAAGACGTTGCTAAAGGAGGGGGGATGTCATAGTCCGAGTCAAGAGCCCAGAACCAAGCATCAAGAGCAAGCGAACCAGGAAGCCCAACTCGCGGGTTACTGGGCCAGACTGGAAGAAGTAAAGAAGGCCAAGCCTAGCTGTGTCTGGAGTACTGCTGCAAGACAGCTGTAACGTCTATACGAGCAAGAAGAGGAATTCGATTTTGCTTTGTCCTGGTTGGCGACGGCATAGGCGGCGAGCTACGGCTCGAGATCACCGGCGTCATCCGATTCCACCGCTACTTGTATCCAGATATTATCAGTGATTCTAAGTGAACTCTTTGTAAATCCACCATATCCATCCGTATTGCTTAGTATCGTGACGGTAGAGTTGTGCAAATTAAATGAAGGTTGATGAATTCGTTCAAATCTGATCTCTGCATTAAGCATTATATTATACTATTGTGTCTATACTCATGAATGCAGTGCAAGAAGTCAGCAGCCTGTTCGCTTAGTCATATTTGGCTTATAAGTCATGGCTTATCAGCCAACGAAACAATATTTTTCTCTCACACCAAACTAGCCAACAGTACTTTCAGCCATGGCTTATAAGCCAAACCAGCCCAAACGAACATGACACAAGTGTAGTGTAGTTTGTGCGTTGTCCAACTTTTAAAGAGTTGAAGTTGTGTTGTCTGCCACGGAGGCAATGAACAGAGTAACCACACGCCCACACCTCTGCTTTCTGCCTTTCTTTGAGCACCCACGCAGAGTAAAACAACGTAGGGGCAGTACTGCACCACATTCACATCCAGCTTGGTTTATTGAACTTATGTAGCATACTGCATTTTTTTTTTCTCGAGAACATGACTTCACATGTAGTTCATTAAGGAGAAGTTTAGCAAAATAACAACCAAGAACCATCCATGGCGAGCCGCTAGTGATGACGAGGCACACAACACAGGACCACCCGTGCGAGTGAAAAAAGACTACATGGCTGCTAGTCTGCGACTAAACGCGAGCAAGGCTGAGCACTAGAAGCATGTTTCTAGATCCGTTCTTGAAGGGAGAGGAGGGGAATCTATGCATAGATAAGGGAAGAAACACCCCGATGGATTATAGCTTTCCCATTTTTCAAACTCATAATTTATATAAGACGTGTCGCGGGGATTGTATATAACTCAATTCAGATACGATTGATGATGGAGCAAGTCGATCCAGGGCAACGAACGTTTGAGGTGAGATGTAAGCAAGCCAACAGGAGCACGTGCATGGATATATGGCCGTTGCATTGCATGCAACTAGAAATCAAACCACCTACCCGTACGCATGTATATTGTATGTATTTTGGGTTTGGATCTTACTATTGCAGCAGGCATTTCAGCTAGTAGATAGAAAGAACGTACACGGCCGACATGCATGCTGTTGCTGTGTCCAGCAACCAGCAGCAGCAGCATGGACCACTACTGTCTGCCTGAGCAACACACGAACAAATAAATCATCATCATGAGAATGAATGAAATGAAATACTGCTGCTGCGAGATGGATGGATCTCAACGGCGTGATTCCACGTAGGATAGGGGTATGCAATTGGCACAATGACAGCCTCAGGCTTGATCCATCGCAGTCTGTCGTTCTTGTTCGCTGCGCATTTCTCGATCGGATCAGGCACAGCAACGTCATTCAGGAACTCAACTGACATACTCCATCGGTCCCAAGGTAGGAGTATGTGCACATCGTATCTTCTTTTTCAAGGTTAACTAAATATTTACAAAAAAAAGCTGTATTTATGATACATAATAAACATCATTAGATTAATCGTGAAAAAAAAATCTCGAGACGTGAGATGTAAACTTATCTTAGGATGCACTGAGTACATGCATGAGGCGATTGAGGTATCCCATGAGTCCGAGGTGTCTCTTGTTCAACCAGTCTCAGCGAGGCGGGTTTTAGGTTCCATTTGGCATGATCCAGAGCCGGTAAAGCCAAAAATAGTGGTTTCAGTGATTCCTAGTTTATTTTAAGAGAAGAAAGATAAATGAGTCCTTGCTACAGTGCACAAAGAAGCCGAAGCTACCCGAGGCTCTACCAAGCATGACATTATTTTCATTAAATAGAGTGCCACTCCTACACTGATAAATTTGATGACATGGCGGTATGGCACTAGAGTCATAAAGAAAGAGAGAAAATGAGTTTTATCTAGATAAAATTAGGTGTAAAGTATTTCCAAAAATTAAAAACTGTTTCACACTATGACACTAGTACGAGGGACAAAAGTTTATTTTCATCAAGTAATCATCCGAGCACATATCACACATTAAGGGCCTTTCAAAACCCATAAAAAAATCGGTTCATTCTCACATAAAAACTCAAGAAACAGGGGGAAAAAATCTCGCGTTCCAAAGGAGGCCTATGAAGCAACAAAAATGAAACTATGCATCGAGAAAATTGTTTCGTTTATCATTACAAACAACTCTAGATAATGAATCACTCTTGGCAACATTAAAATAAAACTATCCATTGAAATGGACCTCACACCCGCATTTTCCTAGACCCTAGTTTTCTTTAGCTGGCTTTACGAGCGGTTTCAGCTCTAGTTTCTCTGGTTGTTTAGGTAATAAAGTCATATCAAACACAAACGCAAGCTCTACCTGAGAATGAATTTGGCTTAATCCAAGATCCAATTGGATTTTTGCACTTGGATTATGTTGGATTTGGACTTGGTTAGATATGGACATCCATTGCTCTTTGATCCAATAACATTGTATCCCAGCTCTAATTTAGTAATGTTTTTTTTCTCTCAAAAAAGTCAAATGGTTTAGATTTGATCAAATCTATGAAAAAGAGTACTAACATTATTAAATTAATTGTAGGGTATTTTTATGATAAAGTTATTCTGAGACATAAGTGTTACTACAGTTTTCTACGAACTCATTCAAATTTAACAATTTGTTGTAGTTTAGTTCAAATTCAGATTTGTATTTCTTTTTTTAGAGTACTTACTGTCAGGAAACTGAAAGTCCAGTCTGTCGTGGCCCCAGTTCCTGTCCTGCAGAGCAGAGCAGGCAACTACAAAGCTTCCCTTCTCCTCATCTTCCGCATCGCCTCGCCGCCAGCGCAACTCCACCCCGGCCCGGGATCCCTCACATCCTTCTCTCTCTCCCCGCCGCTCCGCTCCCCCGCCTCGGGGCCTGCCTCGGATGCTCCCGGCCTCGCACCCGCTGCTCTACGCCTGCGTCTTCCGCGACACCCACCTCGTCGCCGAGCTCGCCCACTCCCACTCCCAGAGCACCGCCACCGCCACCGCCGCCGACCCCGTCGCCTCCCCCGCCCCCGCCCCCGCCCCCGACGACGACCTCCCGGCGCTCGCCGCCGCGCTCGTCGCCGCCGCGCCGCCGCACCACCGCCACCTCACGCACACCGCCGCCGGGCGCGCGCACGCGCTGCTCCTGTCCCCGCCGCTCGCGCTCGCCGCCATCTCGCGGGAGCCCCACCTCCCGGCGTCGCAGCTCCTGCTCTTCCTCCGCCACCTGCGATGCCTCCCCGAGGCCCGGATGCGGGACGAGATGCCGCGCCTCGCGCTGCGCCTGCCGCTCCCGCCGGGCGACGACGCGCGCGAGGCGGACGAGGTCGCCGCCGCCGAGGCACACGCGGAGGAGGAGGCCGCGCGGAGGGACGCTGACCTCGCCGCGCGGACCACGCCCAAGAGGGACCGAGCCTCGCACCGGGGCCGGGCCGGACCCGCCTGGACGTGGAGGCGGCAGCTCTGGATGGTCATCCTCGCGGATCTCCTCCTCCTCACAATCCTCTTCGCCGCCTGGCTCGCAGTCTGCCGGGGATTCAGCTGCATTGGTCGGTAAATAGCTACACAACCTCCAAGGTACGTACGGAAATCAAATCCAGGGCCTTTCTTCTACTTCCGTTCCATGATTTGGATCATTCCAGGGTTGACACTGACACACACACACAAACACCCCCAAAAAAAACCCCAACGAAAATGCGACTGCTTGCTGGAGACTGGGGATCCATGTGTTCTGTTCACTATCCAGACTAGCATTTGTCGAACCGCATTCTCAAATTAGGGTGGTATAGGAGCAAGTCTTCACCAATCCTTCCAACCTAGGACAGATCTTATGGAATTCGGATCCACATTATGGTGGTTTTCACTCGGGATCCTACAATCTTTATCGCCATCTTCACAAATAATCTCCTTTTGAATCTTGACCAAGCAATGAAAGCTGTGGTCAGTCGACCGATGAGGATCCAGGAAGGCTGAGGTTGTCTATCCTGCTGGATGCTGCTAGCTGTGTCCCCACCTCCAGCACAAATGTGAAATGATAATGTCTTGTGCGGGCTCTCTCTCTCTCTCTCTCTCTCGTCCTGACATCCAACTGTCCATATGGAATTGTGAAAAAGGTGGCCTTTTTTTTCTTCTTCTGCAGCTTGTGGCACAGTTGTCTAAGGTTTCTTCTTCTGATGGCAAATGGCTGTATTCCTGTATCCATTGCTGGACGTGATGACAGCAGCTGAATATGATATGGTTCAAGTGCATTAGTTGCTTGCTCAACGTTCCAATGTTAAAGCTGCAAACAGGATTGGAGGTGTTAGGCTCATGATTCCTGCTTCAAACAATTTGCACACAATAGCCTGGGCCAGGTTTCTTACCCAACATCTAATAAGTACAACCCAACCTAGAGACACAACTTCAGATTATACTTGCCCTGGCCTTAGTTGTAAAGCATCCAAGCTAAAGCAGAAAGGGCAACCGTAACATGGGCGATGTGGAGTTTAGTGTCCATCTGAATCCATCAGAGTTGAGTGGTGAGGTGGTGAAATCTAGACGTGCATATACTAAGTACATAGTGTTGGTCACTTTGTTCAAAAAAAAAAAAGTGTAGTCTATTGTGGATGGGGTCTGAATATTAGAATTTAGAATGCACACATTTCTAATTGCATGAAAGTAGTGGCAATGCCATCCTTGTATTCTCATATAATTTTAGTATTAAAAAGAATACCCGTTCTGTTCTCTTAGTTGTTTTTATTGAGAACTAATATTTTGCCCTGTTGAGTCAAAATTTGTGGTTAAACTGGTGTACCCTGTACATATGTATGGTAATATGGATGCAATAAATGTTTGAGGAACTGGATATTGTGCCCATTGCCAACGAAATGTCACTGCACAACTTATTTTGGAAAAAAAAGATCCAAAAGGATACTACAATAGCAATGCCGCTTATTGCTGCAGTATAGATCCAAGAAACAAACCAGCATTCCTTGTATGATAGGATTTCTGACCTGGTCATTGCCAATGAAGAAGCACCCATAGCTTTGGTAATCTGACCGGGTTTATATTAATATTCAAAGTGATCTTTGATCACCATTATTCATGAACCTTTTTTATTCTTTGGAGTTTGGTTCCTTTCTTGGTTAGCATGTCCGGTCTTAAAATAGTTTTTTCTTTCATCATCAAGCAGCCTGTTCGGGAGGCCGTATCGTATCGTGGATTATTTACTGCTGGCTGGTTTGATGTGAGAGAAAAACACTGTTCCCGGCTGGAAATTTACGATCGTTTACGAGCAAGCGAACAGGCTGCTTGATTTCAATTTGAGTAGAATCACATTCATAACAGTTGCTGACAGCAAATCCAGGATGCCGGGTTAGGACTTAAGGAGGATCAAAATGAAATAGAGGCATTTGAACAACTTCATATTTATGATCTTGTTGCAAAACACAAAGATTCATCTTTTTGTGAAAGTTCTGTTTAGCATGGCAAAAACTGAAAACTTATGTACTATAAGTAACAGATTCATGGAAAACAGGAAAAGCAGCCACAGAACCATAGCTTGTTGATGTTTGTTGGCTTGTATGACATGGCATCAGATATGAAGTGATAGCATGATACTAGATGCATGCATGACATATTGACATTACATCATATATCATCTATTGAGACCTTTAATTGCATACATGGATAAGTAGTGAGAGGAATTGAGGAGCAGACCCCAGATGGGACTCTCTTGTCTGATGGCTGGCCTGCCTAGTATCAGTGTGGTAATGGGGACTTAAAACTTTATCCTTCTACCCCTGTAGCTAAGCCTGGGCGTTTGGGTTACCCGATTTTTTCGGGTCGGGTAATTCGGGTAATTCAAAATTCGGGTAATGAAAATTGCTACCCGATATTACTCCCGAAAAAACACTACCCGCAAATTCGGGTACCCGATAATTCGGGTTCGGGTTCGGGTATTACCCGATATACCTAAATTTACAAAAAACAACAAACTACACTAAATTTCAGTAGCGATCTATACATAATTTCAGCAGCAATTTGTATAGAATTTGAATAGCAATTTGTAGAGAATAATATATTACAGTCACTCATTCAAATAGAGAGAATTATATTCTAATAAAGTGATAAGTTAAATGGTTCAGCTAACAACACATGATAAATACGAAGACAAAAACAAATCTTTGGGTAGTTCGGGTAGTTTGGGTACCGGGGGATATTACCCGAATTACCCAAACTAATTTCGGGTAATCAAAATCGCTATCCGAATTTGGGATCGGGTACCTCGGGTTCGGGTAATTCGGGTCCGGGTTTGGGTAATTCGGGTACGGGTAATGGGTATCGGGTATTTTGCCCAGGCTTGCCTGTAGCATATCTCGAGGAAAAAAATTGTAATATAAGTTCTTGTGCGTTCGTGCAATAAAAAAAACTTAAATCAAACCTTGTTGCAGCCTTTATCTCATGCTTGTTAAGATCACATATAAACTAAACACAAGAGTATTGTCACCAATAGTTCATCTTTGGATGTGTTGAAGGAAAAGACTGCACAGCTGCAGATTACACACATAAGAAATGCTTTAATACCTCCTAAATATGTACTCTTTTCCTTCCAGACGCATCATATAGATGATAAGGTCAAGTTTAGAGTGGAAACTGTCTCTTCATTCTAGCAATTTAGAGTTGGAGGTATGATACTTTAAAAAAATAAAGGGCAAGCTGTAGACTGTAGTTTATCTGGTGAGTTTACTGGCTTCACTACTCCTGAGAAATACCAGTTGTGGCAGTGTGTATTGTGACAGGAAATGAGACTTGAACCTACCTTAGCTGGACCTGGTTGGGTGCATGATTGTGCTATATTTATATTTCTACTTTGACTAAAGAATGTGATAACTCATTTTTGTGTGTTAAAAGCTATAGTTGCATATCCATCAGGTATAGAACAGTATTACAGTAGAACTTAAGACTACCTCAACCAACTAAGCGAAAATGACAGTGAAAACATAGAGATGTTCCCCCTTTTCTCTAGAAGTGGTACATAAAGATTATGAACTAATAGACCAGATGTTCAAATCAAGTATGTTACATCTGCTTGCTGTGAAGATAAGGAGTTTGTACTCACTACTGAACTGTTTGCGCCTATGTGAAGATATTCCAAAGAACAGTTTGAACTCGCATTGTTTTATCTTTTTGCTTTGTTCGTAAATCGTTTGCCTCCATGTTCCACATGTGTCTGTAACTATTTATGCTGATGCTTTTGAGCATGCAAAATTGTGAAGTCTTTGTTTCATCAGACTCTCCTTTGTATTGATGTATTCTCATCATTGTTGGCTGTTGACATAAATCTTGACTTTTGTGGGGATAATCAAGTTCTCATTTGACAATACCATGTTGAAGGGCCTCTAACAGTTCAAAAGTTGGTCAAATGTGATTCCTTCTTACATTTACATCCCGACAGTCTGCTCTGTTTACAGTTCTTTAGGTCAAGCTTAAGTTTTGCAAGAAAGGATAATATGTGTAAAACTGAAAATTTTCAACCTATTATACTGAGATTTCTGATCTTTGTTCCTTTCTTCTCCCTGTAGGCTGCTGCTCAATTTTTAAGCAAGAAATCTGGAGTGCAGTTGTTTCTCAGACGAAAAAGTGGGTGATACCATAACGCGGTTGCAAGGTGCCAATATTTGCAAGGAAAGGCGCTTTGGCCCCCTGCATATTGTTACGTCTTTATTGTATGAATCGTATTTAAAAGTGAAGGCAAACAGTCCTGGTAGACTACATAAGTTTGAATTTGATGGTTTTGATATGGTGATCTGTAAACCCTGTAGTGCAATTTTTTTGTTCATTTTTCTATACGAAGCAAATGTCAAAATTTTGCCCCATTTGGACCATGGCAGACTCGGATATATGTGAATCGTGTTGTCAGTCTTTGGCAGACATCTTGTTCTCTGTTTTCCTCTCCATCCTTGCAAGTGTCAGGTCATGCGCAATTTCTTACATCATTATCTGGGAGCTCTGATGGTGATTCAATGGCAATTCTTGTCTTTTGGGATGCTTGTTTTAAAGAACATTTATACTCTAATCTGCTTAGCTATAAAACTGAAACAACATATACAAGCGCTGAAACTATATAGGCTTCTAGAAAAGCAAAACTGAAAAATGCACATGTGCCATTTTCATGCACTACTAATACCCTTCCCAGTGCCATTCTGTGCCTTATGTGATGCAGTAGTGTTTCAGTCACAGCGCCATTACAACTGAAAAATGTCTGCGTCGGCTCAGTCATCTTGTTCTTTTGAGTTGTGTTGCCTTCCGTCTGTGACTTGGAAATTAGAGAATAAACTTACCCTTGATACACCTGATGATATATTGATATCCTTACATTTTAAATCTGTCACAGTTTCATATCCGTACATTTTAAATCTGTCACAGTTTCATAGCAAGGCAAAGCTATCCTTTGCAAAACTGCAGACACGGATGGCAACGCTCTCGTGCCTGCTTTGCACCGGGTCAATCTGCAAGTCATTTCAGACGTCCAAAACTGGCTCGACATGGCACATTGTGAAAAGGAGCCATGCAAAC